GATATGGTCTGAATATCGGAATACAAGCAAATCTATAATCATTATCTGCTATGCACATTCATGTCCATGCTGCCACAAAGGTTTGTCTTAACACAACTGTTTTGATGCAGATTATTTAAGAAACAACACTTGTTCATAAGAATTCTCTTCCTATATATGATAGGAAATAGCATCTTTTGAAACTGAATGGTCATTGGTATCAATATTAACACAGTAAAAGGAAAAACATCTTCGTGGTTCAGAAGGGTGGTTTTTAGCTGGATGACCTTTCTTTCCTGCCTCTTGTTGGTCATGGTTTTGATTCTGGCTTTTATGCTCTAAAACATTATCTGTTCAACTTCCACTGTTGGAACGTTTCCTAGTTATAGTTGATCAGATTTTTACCATTTTGTATTTTAGGCAGATATAGGTCTTTCTATGGGCATTCAAGGAACTGAAGTTGCAAAAGAAAGTTCTGATATCATTATCTTGGATGATAACTTTGCTTCTGTTGTAAAGGTGAGTAAACAACTTATTAAAATATTGCTTCACTTGTTTATTTAAAATTCAAGTAACTTTGTTGCTTTTTTTGCATTTAGCTTCTTCAAGTTAAAATAGATAATACATTGAAGCTTTTAAACCTCGGCCCATAGGACTAGCATCTATGTGGTGGATCTTAATGAAAAGGTTTGTGGTTAGGAATGGTCTTGAATCTTGATAGTTCTTGCGCAAGGTTTGAGGCACATCATCTCTCTTGCAGGACTGCCTTATATTTGAATTGAATATGCATATTATATTGTTTTTTTCTTTCTGCTTTCCTCCTATCATCGTATCTATTGTTGTTTAACCTGTCAGATTTGTGAACATCTATTTTTAAGGAACACCACATATCTGTTTTTCCTGACTCCTGGCATTATTTTGACATATCTTTTAACGTATCATACAATTAATATCTTTATATATAGTAAATATTTTAATCTTTAGTCCTTTCTTTTGCCCTGGTTTTCAGATCATTGGTAAAAAAAATTATATAGTTTTCTGGTTAAATTAATGGGTTGACTTTCAGTGCATATACCCAAGTTAAATAAGGAGTGATATAATTCTGATATAGCTTTACTCATCTAATGATAGGATTCAGGTTGTGATTTTATTTGTTCGCAATCTTTTTATGTAGGTTGTTCGCTGGGGACGTTCTGTGTATGCAAATATTCAGAAATTTATCCAATTCCAACTTACTGTTAATGTTGCAGCTCTTGTAATTAATGTTGTGGCAGCGATATCCTCTGGTCGTGTCCCGTTAAATGCTGTACAGGTTGATCTCTCCCTCTCTCCAGATATATATATATATATATATATATATATATAGTCCCCTTCTATTTGAGGGACACCCTTTAGGGTCCCCTACGAATTTTTTTTAACGATCCAAACCATCTATTTTTTAAGTCTACATTTATAGATCATCCTTGCAAAAAATTAGACAAATCGGAAACCGTTTCGACAACCAATTGTGTCCTACAAAATCAATGAACACGGTGCTTCAAGAAAGTACTAGAATTTCAATTACTCAATTGGGTGGTCAAATGATTCGGATTCAAGTGATTTTTTGTGGAGATGATCTTTGAATGATTATCTAAAAAATAGACGGTTTGGATTAGTGAAATAAAATGCGGAGTGGGCCCTACAAGGGTGTTGATCAAATAAGCTTATTTGAGGGATCCCTCAATGGAAGCTCTCTGTATATATATCTTAATTGGTTATGGATATCTATTATTCCGTCATGAACCAACATTGCACTGCATATTTTGCACAATCTGGAATATGAAGCCAGAACAAAATGAGTAAAAGAATCCTCGGCATTTTAGAATGTCACTGCTCATTTGTTTTCTGTCATTTTTTTTTTCTTACATTGTGGTTCTAAATAGCAATGGGCCCGGACACTTAAGAACCCTCCTTGTTATAATGTGTTTCATGTTCTTTGTACAGCTTCTGTGGGTTAACTTGATCATGGATACTCTAGGAGCACTTGCGTTGGCTACTGAGCCACCTACAGACAACCTTATGCATAGAACACCAGTTGGCCGAAGGTGTGAAATTCTGTGGCTAGCTAGCAATGGTGTATTCATAACATATCTAAATTCGATACTGTTAAAGTTAAATTCTTGTGGCTGTATGCTGTTATAAATATGGTGGCTGTCTATTGTTGTTTTCTGAATAACAAAATATTAAAGTCTTGATCTTCTAGGCACCTTTCAACAGAAAAAAATATTTCAATAATTTTTGGATATTTAAGTGTTTAACATCTGAAGATGATGATGAGTTTCAGCTAGCGTCTGGATTCTGGGCATATCAGAAGAAAATAATTTGATCTTGCTTGGCCTTTTCATTTGATACTTTTGTCATATTCATTAAAATCCCATGGGATCTATAAGAATACTATGGGGGTTGTCCCTCTCCCAGCCCTCCTCGACTGCCCTCCCACAATTATTAAGAGGAGGAACAACATATGCATGCTGTTCATTATATTGTTCATTTAGTTTTCTTGGACCCATATTTTAATCACATGGGATGGTCTATAATCTTCTTCCCACTCTTAGTCAACTTTTTATGAGTTTCTGATAAGGTAAAGTAGGATTTATTTGCATTTATTTTGCCCTTCTGATATTTTCTCTTGAGTTGCGCTCGTCTTAAAATTGAGAGATTGTATATTATTTTGGGTGCATTTGCAAGGCCAGGTATTCTTGTATATCACATTCCCTTAATGGACCACCTCTAGTTTTAGATGAAGGAAGTAATGATCTGATGTTTGTTTGTTTAGGGAACCTCTTATAACGAACATCATGTGGAGGAACTTACTCATTCAGGTACCTAATATCCATGAGACTATAGTTGGAAAATTACTGAGATCACAGTAGAAACATAAGTTACCTTGTACAACTCTGTTTCTGTCATTAACTTTTACTTACCACAGGCTATGTATCAAGTTGCTGTCCTCCTTGTCCTCAACTTTCTGGGAACTAGCATTCTTGGTCTGCAAAATGAGACCCAGAAGCAGGCCACTAGTGTGAAGAATACTATCATATTTAATGCATTTGTCTTCTGCCAAGTAAGTATAGGAACTTGAAAATAATGCGAATTAAGAATTACGTTCTAATTGTTTAGCTAAGTTGGTTTTAAGGTTTCAATTTTGCTTGTTAGTTATCTCATTTATTGTATCTGAGGATACGGAAGTTAAACAGATGATATTGACATGCCATATCATGCAATTAGCCTAACCTCTTATTAGTGTTTGTTCTGACGCCTATCTTGTGTTTTTTTATACAGATTTTTAACGAGTTCAATGCTCGAAAGCCTGAGGAAATAAATATATTCAGTGGAGTGACTAAGAACTACCTCTTTATGGGAATAATAGGAATTACATTAGTACTTCAGGTGAGAGGCCAGTACATTTATATTTTGGTTTACGGTTCTTAGTTTTACTATCATACAATTACTCACTATAACTGTATTTGCAGATACTGATCATTATGTTCCTTGGAAAGTTTACAAAAACAGTGAGACTATCATGGCAGCAATGGCTTATATGCTTGGGTATTGCCATTGTCAGGTACGTAAACTTGATGATATTGCTTATATTTTTCTAAACTGGCTCAAGTTTGGCTAATGAAGACCATGGGAGTCTTATCCTCATTATTGTACCACCTTGAGAACCACGGTTGACAAAAAATGAAATTAGTTGCCAGTCATTTTTCGTTTGCAATTTAAATTTCTCTAATTTTGATTTTATTTTAATTGGCATAGATATTAAAGAACTACCAAATTACCTTGGTCTCCATGTTCACATATGATGGCATGAACATGATAACCTTTGTCTCTTAACATCACCTGTAAATAGGGCCTTAGTAGTGTCTTGTGTCCCTTAAGATTCTTCATAGTTCATTCAGGTTGATGGTCATATACCATGCATCCATCTTCTTTACATGGTACTTAACTGTCTTTATTTTCTGACAGTTGGCCTCTTGCTGTTATTGGAAAACTAATTCCGGTCTCGAAGACACCATTGGGCGAGTTCTTCAGTCGGCCAATTAAGCGATGCAGAAATTCTCGTAACTCCTAATGCTCACCTCTCTACTTGTGTTCTGTATACATGCTATCAAACCATCAGTTTCAGAAGATTTTTTGGAACTTGAGAGAAGGATGAACTAAATCCTACAAGAAATTATGAGAAAAATCGATGATTCTCGTTCTCAAAACTCAATCTTTTGATTTCTGTGGATTGACATATTTGGCCAGGACGAATTGAATCCTTCCCCCTCCCCCCTTTCTCCGGCCCACAAGAGAAAGAAATTGCTCATTTTGGGCCTGAAAGCCTCTAGTTTCTTTCTCCAGCGTTATGGTTACATAACTTACATTATGGCATGACCTTACCACTATTCGTTTTCTCTATAGCTTTTCTGTGTAAGAGTGGACTCGTCACGGATTTGTATTCAACTAGTAAATTGCTATGTAATGCATAGCCAAGTGTAAATAGAAAGCTGTTATTGTGCAGCTCTGGAACAACTTTTTTGGAGCTTCATTCACTTGGAAATCTTTTTCTTTGAAAATTGATTTTACACAAAATAGAAACACTCATTTGAAAATTATTCCGTTTTGCCTTCACAATGTGTTGCAGTTCCTTTTAAATGATTGATTAATTTAGGTTACCTTGTATGGATCATAAGTAACTCATGCATACGATAAGCTAAATGCCGATCTTGACTTTGCGAAAGGGGATTCGATTTGAGACCTTTTTTTATTTTGGGAAGAGAAGTACGTACGACTTCCAAATTATTGTACCCCAAATGCCACATTGACATTATGCATTTGAAAAAAAGGATGAAAATTACGAGGCTTACAATGAAAATCCTAATGTATAAAACTACAAGAAAAAGGTATCTATTTCTTGACCTGAAAGAATTTTTGTCAATAATCAAATAAAGAATTTAAATAAAAGCTATTGGGTTAAACTTGATGAATTTGTCACATCAACCCAAGCTGTAAAAGTGACCATCTAAACCGAGCCTTGAAGATTCACTGTGCAGGTCTTGTTGGTAATTATCATCAACACCATCAACCATATTTTGCTGCTGCTGATTTAGTTGCTGTTGTGCATTGTAGAATGCTATTTGAGCTTTTGTCTTGGCCATCTCAGATTGAGCCTGAAATAAATCTTGTTGCAATTGAGAAATTATTTTAACACACCCATATGTTGGATCTTCAACACGTACTGATGCTTCATAAAACATGCAGTCTGCTGCTGCTTCTCTTACATGGACTGGAAGTTGCTGCAATTCACAAATATTTACATGATTAAAAATCATTAACAGATTCAGTAAATCTCATATTATCTTCAAATACAAACAAGGGTTTCAACTATTTCTCTTTGTTTTTTTTTATGTATATATAAAAATAAAAAAGGCATTTGGGGTTAAAGTAGTAACCAAAAAAAAAAAAAAATCGTAGGGATAAAAGTAAACATCTACATTACTAGTGGCCATTTGTAATGCTTTCAAATTTGGTTTGGATTGTAGACGCGAGTTAGGCAAGTTGGCCAAGGCAATGAGCCCGCCTTCTTGCACCCAAGTTCAAATCCTCACTCTCGTATATTAGATTAGTTTAAAGCAGTTTAGACTATCGTTTGTATAAATAATTTTAAAAAAAAAAGTTAGTCTTGTTTGAGTTGTGTGTAGCCAAATGATGAACAATAGTTAAGCAGTTACCTTACCAAATAGGATATACAAATGTAGATAGAAAACAGAACATTTCTGAGTATATTTGCTTTCAAAAGAAAGATTTTTTTGACAGTGCATCCTAATTAATTGTTACCTGTAGCATTTTGGTAATGTTGCCGGCACCAAAGATCTTATGAACACAAGCAAATCTCTCTGGATTGGATGAGGGGAAATAGGGTGCCAGAACACAATCTTGAGCGCATTTTCTTCTCAAAAATTTGCAACCTGCACATCTTGTTGGATTGGCCATTAGATTATAGCAGATTCTTTAGAATCTATGCAAAGATTGTTTCTCTAAATTTTCTAGGAAATCAAATTTGTGTGAATGATTTTGTTATGTGTCAAAGATTTTGTTCCCTATATATATAGATTAGGTGATCATGGATCCGTTTGAATATATTGAACACAATCACAAATTCCTAGGGGGCTAATTAGCCTAATATTGGAAACAACACAACGGCTAGTTTCTTTTTGTCAAAGTTTCACACATTTTAGGAAAGATTTGATTGAAGGCAATGGAAGCACAAATTCAATCACTTTGAAGTTTTCCATATGAGTTATATTAAAAGAAGTAACTTATAAATTTTATTATTATTTTTTATTATTTATAATTAAATAAATAAATAAATAAAACCAGGACCATGGCGCCGCCAAAAACTAAAATGTTGAGTTGGCAAACTTAGATTAAATGTGGGCTACTTTGTCTTTCTTGGAAATTTCTTTTGTCTTTCTTGGAAATTTGGGGTAAATTGAAATCGCCCCTTGGCCCTTGCAAACAAATTATAATAATCTCTCAACACACACCAGTTTCTGATCACGCGTGTCACAATTTGTACCCTAGTAGGACAAAAACGTGAACTTTTTGTTTTTATTTTTATTTTTAAGTTTAACCACCATTTCACACTCATTTAATAAATATTTTTCCTTTTAGCATTGTAATTAAGTAAGAGCCTTTTATTTATTTATACAAAGCGATAATAGGAGTATGAGGAATCGAACCTAAGACCTCAAGTGCAAGGTAAATGTTCGTAATCACTTGACCTATAATCTACTCACAGTATGTATAGTAAATGCAACAGAATGTTTTAGGTATTTTAGTATATGTACTTGGGTCAAATAAAACTTGCTAATTTACCATTGTATTGGTAATTTTATTAATAAAGCTTCGATTGTTGGGTTTTATATCCCTGTTAACACTTACTAATTAACCTAGTTTGTTCTTCATTTGCTTTCCTAGTTTGTGTAGGTACATGCATGCAGGTAACCCAATCAGTTTCCAACTCTATTTTGAAATCCAAACAGAAGACAACTTGTTTGACACGAAGAAAACTTGTTTGACACGTTAGAAATAAAAAACGAAAACAGAAACTTGTAATTTGTAATTCTCTCTCTCTCTCTCTCTCTCTCTCTCTCTCTCTCTCTCTCTCATCCCATCTGATCTGCTGGCATTGAATCTCTGCTACCAAAGCTATCTTCATCCGCAGTAACACGCGGTAAGCTCCTCTTCAATCCTTGTCTCTGCTTCTTCTTAGTGTTTTAACTCGTTCTCTGTTTTGGAAAATCATATAGTTATTTTTTTTTATTCCCATAATAATCACGAGTTGAATTAAACACCCTGCTAAATATCTTTATTTAATCTTTTACCGTTCATGGTGTAGCCAACTGGTAAACTAACTTGAGTTTATAAATTTTTACTGAATATGAATGACTGAGCTTTTTGGTTTCTGCTTGAGTTGATCATAGAATTGAGGATATTTTATTTGCTCTTACATTTTTGGCATTGAAAGTTTCGCACAATTGTGTTATACTAGATCAGGTGCAGTTTCTTTTTTAGTATTATTTGCTTTAGGTATGTATGTGGGGTTCATAAACATTCTTTTCACCTTTCAGATGGAAAATCTGTCGACTCGCAT